ATATTTTTCATTTTTTTTACTCAAATTGAACATACATGATAATGAAATCTCAAAAATTTATTATCATTCACTAATTATTTCATAAAATAATCATATAAATATAATATTAAATATATATAATTTTTTTTATAGAAAAATTTGGGGGAGCCAGTTACCAAGAAGATCCGCCTCTGATCTAGCTCTTATAAGTTTAATTTGACATACAAAGAAATGCCATCATTAAGATATATTTCGCAAGAGATTGATATCTTTACAATAATATGACTGCTCAACCTGTCATCAAAATCATCATTTTTTGCGTGGAGGTTGATGTTGAATATACTACTAACAAATGTCAATTTGACTAATAGGAGGATTCAGCTTGCAAAAGAGGAACAAATGTGTCCATTTTGTTAAAGGGAGGTACTATCAAGTTCTCATTTGTGCATTATGCAACAAGATATTTAATTGTCTTTTTATTGTGTGATGAGTTAGAGTGGGGGTTTGATATGGATTTAGAATGAGTTTTCTAAGATGGAAAGTGTCTAAGAGAATCTTCTTATATGCTAAACCATAAAGTTATATACTAAGATTCCAATTGGTAGAATCTTTTGCTCTTGCATTTAGGAGGATAAGAATGAATAGGAAAACTACCAATTTTTTCATATATGTATTTATGGCACAAGTCGCACAACTTGTACTTCACATATATTAATATAATTTTGCTTGTTAATATATAATTCATAAGTAGAGATGACAAAAAAATTCATATTCCCGATTATTAGCGAATAAAATTCACTATGAATAATTAAATGAGTACCTACTTAATAATGAGGTGAGATAAATAGTAAGGTACTCATACTCGCAGATACATGTATTTTAAAAATGTTAAAAATATTTTTAATTATATATAAATTATTTTGGTTTGATTTATTTTTTTAATAAATATATGTGTCATAATTATTTATTTTTAGTACAAATATATTTTACAAAAAATATCTTTTTAATATAAATATATGTTTTAAATTATTTATTTTATTTATATATATTTTTAAAATTTTACACTTTAACAAATATCCACAAATATTTATAAATACATATATATATATATATATATA